TATCCTGCCCATTTCTATCGCTAAGCAGTCGTTTTGGCCGGCTCAAAGGGCGGGGTAACTATGGCAATACAAACGAGACTCAAATCCCCTGTCTCGAGAATATCTGTGGGCGTTACTTTACATTAGTGTGCTTAGTGCGAGTTTTTAACGTTCTCTATAGCATAAAAAATAACTCAAATTTGTATGCAGTTGGAACAGCGCCCCTAGCGGCAAACGTAGGCAAATGCAACTCCTAACAAATTTGAGTTAACTTTTACGCTATTGAATACGTTAAAAAACTCGCACTAAGCACACTGATGGATCACGAGCTTGTAAACAAATTTTTGTAATAAATACCAAGAAATAAAAATGTTAGTAGACGAATATTATTAATTAAAGCGTGCGTCCATACATTGGAAAATGAATAAATCGCGCTATTGCCGCTAATTACAGCGGTGCCCATTAAACATTTTTGTTATAAATACACGTATGTATGTAATATAAATTTTCCGTGCGACTCAAGGTTCGAATTAATGTCATGTTTAATTCCGTCGGTCGCTCTATAGGTACTGACTACCAGCGCTTAATGGATATATCGTAAACGACGCGTACTAGTTAATATCTACAATTAATCCACAGCAAAACTCTACCGACATAATTACTTTCTACAAATATTAAAATTAATTAATTCCATTGGCGTTACAACTCTTTGTGCATTCCTCTACGCTCTATCTCTTGGTTCCATCTTTCTCAAAACTTCCTAGATCCTAGTGGTTTTACTTGTTAAGCCCAGTTGATCGCTCTCTTTCGAGGTCTCTTCTCTTCCAATCTCTCCAAGGGCCCTGTCCACCTGTTGTTATTGCCTATTATTCTGCTCTATTATATCTCCACATACTCCAAATATATCAAAACAATTTGTGATTTCTACCTTACTCCTCAATGTCGGTCGTGCCATCAAGTGTGATCTCCTCCGCTCATCTACGCTAAACAAAAGAAGTTCAAAATTGCGGAAAGTATTATTTGATTTAGAATAATTGGTCTATTGCTTTCTGAACCTTTAGGTCGAGCATTCAGTAGAAATTTGAACAAAAAAAAAACATGGTATGAAAGCGACAATGATTAATTAGACGCATCAGTTATCAGTTACTATTTAGCATAAATAAATAAGCATATCTCGAAAATTAAATTTCGATCGTAAACCAGTTTCAGTATAAAGATACTGAAACTGGTTTACGATCAAACGAACAAAGGTTCATTTGTTTTGATCAGATCAGACAGATCATTTTTAATTATAGCCAATAAATGCGAAGAGTATCATTATATCTTAAACAAAATATAATGCCGTATGCTCGTCTGCCTACAAGGGCAATAAAAAAAAAACTTTTTTTTTAAAGAGATTTTATGACCTGGTAAGTAAGACCTTTAAGTCATGTCTTATTTTACTTTATATTCTTAATTTTATGAAAAATGATAATATGGAGTGAAATGAAATGAAGAATTTTTAATTTGAGACATTAATCAACTGGGATGAAATTTAATGGAATGAGATGATATGGGATGAAATATAATCGCAGTAAAATGGTGGTCATTTACTGAGATTTTTTCAGTGGACTTTTTGGAGGAACCCGAGAAGTTACGTCCAGCAGCTTTGTTTCATTTTCCCACATTTGTGCACTTTCACAGATATTAAACAGTTAATAAACCACCATTATTACACATTTAAACCTGAAGAAACACTAAATAGACAANAGGAACATTGACGGAGACCGCGCTACCGTGGACATTATTGTAGTCCCAAAGGATTCTGTTTAAGGGAGAGTAAGCACCTAAATTCGAACGAGCGGGCTTTCTTATAAACGGTTTATATTTCTTCGTTCTTGGTAGGTACTTAGGGGCTGATATTTTTATCTGGGCTAATAGATTAGGTGTGTCGGTTATTCCATGAATTACTTTATACAGAAATATACCCCCCATTAGTTATTCTGCTCTATTATATCTCCACATACTCAAATATATCAAAACAATTTGTGATTTCTACCTTACTCCTCAATGTCGGTCGTGCCATCAAGTGTGATCTCCTCTGCTCATCTACGCTAAACAAAAGAAGTTCAAAATTGCGGAAAGTATTAGTTGATCTAGAATAATTGGTCTATTGCTTTCTGAAACATTAGGTCGAGCATTCAGTAGAAATTTGAACAAAACAAACATGGTATGAAAGCGACGATGATTAATTAGACGCATCAATTAACAGTTACTATTTAGCATAAATAAATAAGCGTATCTCGAAGATTAAATTTCGATCGTAAACCAGTTTCAGTATCTTTGTTCATTTGTTATCGTCAGATCAGACAGATCATTTTTAATTATAGACAATAAACGCGAAGAGTATAATTATATCTTAAACAAAATAAGCGAAATGATTATTTTTATTAAAGGAGTCAAATTGATAAAGAGGCTTCTTAAAACTACAACAGAACAATTAATAATCATATTTTAATGCTATTTTTGTAATCGAATCCCAACCGGTCGCGAAACGAGTTACTTGCCTCGTAGAGTAAAATGTCACCCATGTCATTAACTACGTCTGTACAATAACTATTTGCCATGTAATTAACACTGATTTTAAGGTTTTTTTATCTTGCTTTTTCATAGTTTTAGACAAGGAGCTGCTTGGATCAGTCTCTAATCTATAAACTGACTGCCGGTCGATTTCTGAATCGGTTGGTGAGTAATATCACAAACCAGCGAACAAACGGTCATATATTTACTACAGTGAATATACGTGGCGTTGCTCGGGTCATGTCATTTATCATGATAAGCATCTTATTTGTCGATCCAGACTGTATCTTTGTGCAAAGTTTCATAATGTCCCGTAACTATACTGAGACCTTAGAACTTATATATCAAGGTGGGTGGCGCATTTACGTTGTAGATGTCTATGGGCTCCAGTAACCACTTAACTCCAGGTGGGCTGTGAGCTCGTCCATCCATCAGGGCAATAAAAAAGTCCTTTAGTCCTTAGAAGGTTTAACAAAGATCCATAGATTTATATATTTTTATATTCCATAGTGTTGTTATAGAATTATTACGTAAAACAATAAAATCATTTTGTATCATTGTCATAATTTGGGAATAATGAAGATCTTCAAACGAGCGAGTGAAATTGCTCAGGAGACCGATGGTCCGAATATTTTAGTGCGGAACTTGGGTACCTATATGCAAGCGTATCTTGAAAATATCGTAAGCGAGATTCAGGCATCTGTCAAATATCTTGTGTTTTTGTGATCGCTACCCCCCCGACACAATAATATAAATGTTTAGAATACATTCACGTTGTGTGCGAATCATGGTATCGATGATTACACAATCGATGGTCATCAAAAGTTGGCCAACGCTCGATCGCGGATTGCGGTAGTGCGCAATGATTTTACATTACGCGCTATTACTAATCTGAAACAGGTTTTTATGTCGTTTAATAATACGCGTATTTGGAATCGGTGGTTAATTTTGTAATCTTCACTAGTGGCAGGGCGTATTGTAAGCCTGCACGGGTAGGTAGGTACAACCGTCCTGGCTATTTCTGCTGCGATACAGATAATCCAGTTTGAAGGGTCAAAACAGTCGTTATACAGTTGAAAATTTTAGCACGTGTCTCAATTTGATAACTATAGTCTGCATTAAGAACATTACATCCAAATGGATGGTAAGTTCGATGACTTATCTATACAATAAAAATAAATAAACAAAATTTGATAGAAGTACTCTAATGGTATTAACACTTTAACACCTCCTGCAGTCGTGCTCCTCTTGTCTAAGGGTCGTGGCCATCTCCATCCGTAACTTTGGTCCTCGCGACTTTATGCCATCTCATTCTGTCATCAGCTACTCCGAGAGTATGAAAACCTTACGAAGCTTTACCAATTAGGCATTTATTTACCATCTAAAGTTATACCGGCAGCGCACTTAATCAGTTATGCAAATTCACTCAAAAACTCTTCTCTGAAGCAAATCTCACAATAGAATGGATGTTTTGCCTTCCTAAACATCAGTCAATTAGTAAGAAGTGCAATATCCTATTGTTAATTAAATAAAGGTGTATTAAATCGTGACCTTTTCTTAACTTATTGTTAGTTTACATGCGAACTATTTATTTGACAGGTTCGATTAACAATTTATAATAAACTAAGCAAGTACTTGTATACCATAAACAGAGTCGTAATTGGATACTATAATCAAAGTGGTAATTATTATTCACAATTGTCCTATTGAAAACAAATTGTTAATCGAATTTTGACCTTCCATTAAAAATTGACACGATGGCATTTTCAATTTCATTTAATACAACAGTATGTAATTAAGTTTAAGTACACTGTAATTTGACCTTGAATGGAATCACGAGCGCAGACAACGCTACATTAAGCAACACCCTTCTAATTGTTCCTGGTGATCAATGTTATTCTTTTGGTGAAATCGGTGGTTTTTGATTGAGCAAAATAAAATTGAGATAAGTCGTGCAATACTGAGCTGTAACATTTACCTTTCAATTAGTACAAATAAACCCGAAACATTTTAAAACATGATGAAATTGTTCAGATTGCGACCAGGTTTGCACATCCACAAACCACCGCTAGCTAGTAAAAATAATTGAAAAATAAATGAAAATCACCATGGTAGATTTCACCACTAAGATGAGGAAATGGTGCCCTTGTGAATACAGCAAGGTTTTGTTGTGAAATGGAGAGAAAACATTATTGTTGATGATGATGATTAAATGTATCTAATTTGAGTAAATCCGTTGAAATAAACAGTTTTTTTTTGTAAAGCCTTGAAGTAAATTGTACGGAGTTCCGCTAGGCCGATCATATTATGTACAAATGTCGTTTTGCCTTCTTAGTTTGGATTAATATCGTCGATTGCGCACGCGTTCAATTGAAATGGAAACCATGAATGAATGACTCTGCTACACAATACCTAACTGCGAATTTATCTATTTGTTTTAATAAATGGTTTATTTGTTGCAGCTGCGGTCATGCCGTCGCTTTTGGAAGCCCTTGAGCGCAAATACGGCGCTAAGGGCGAAGTAAATCCATCCATTGACGACATGCCAGTTGCCATATTTGTGCCTAAACGCTCCCCGAGACTTAGCGTACCCACACTGCTAGTACTCAACGATTGCGATATAGACTGTGCCGGAGATGCATGTATACTAGCAGATAAATGTGCGGACGTTGTTGAACTTGATCTAGCTAACAATAAATTAACTGAATGGCAAGAGGTAAGTGTAATTAATATTTTATGTCAAACGAAGCAATTGGTCCCAGATCAAAAATAAACAATGTAGCAATAAGCGCAGCGTTGCCAAACTTACTTTCTGCGATGCTCACTGTTCTCATAATTGTCGATGTGCTTTCCTAGATATTACGTGAGCTAATGGTAGATGATACATATAGACGATTCTATTGTTTCAGGTGTTTGCAATATTAGAGCAGACTCCACGAGTTCGATTCCTTAATTTGAGTTTTAACAGGCTTTCGGCTCAAATTCAAGCAGCCCAGTCATTACGGCCCAGGTTGGATAGTTTGAGCTATCTGGTCCTTAACTCTACCTATGTTAGTTGGCCAAGTGTTCATTCGTTACTCAAGGCTCTCCCAGCTCTCGAAGAACTGCACTTGAGCCTCAACGAGTATTGTTATGTGAATTTAACTGGACAAGAAGTCGACGAAAAGGATCGTTGCGATGCATGTTCCCGTTTGAACGTTGCTGATGTCACCGAGCCAGTTCATGAGCAGCTAAAGAAACTTCATTTCTCCGGGAATCCAGTCAGCAGCTGGTGGGAGATTTCCAAATTGGGCTATGCCTTCCCCAATCTGGAAACGCTCCTCGTTAATGAATGTCATTTAACAACCTTAGAGCCGGATCCTTGCGAGAAGTGTGGAGACGAAAACGGGAACAAAAAGAGTCACGATGCTTTCTCGTGAGTATGTTTGCGTTAAATATAATACGTAACCTTTAATTATTTCAGTAATGTTTTGCCATTGACCTACTAAACTTTTATTATCTGTTCATTACATGTTGTAGTTGTACGATTATTTCATTGAAACTTCATTGTCATTTTAGACATTTACGCTTCCTCAATCTGAACAACACCGGCTTGGCAACATGGGATGAAGTGGATCGGTTGGCGCGGTTTCCTGCCCTGAAAAGTTTACGAGTTCAGGTAATATTCAACTATTATCATCTCTGTGTACTATAGATATCCTCAGACTTTGATTGCTGTTGTTAAGAAGCGTTGGCCTCGGCTGGCTTTATATACACATGGCCGGAAATTAGCAGACCTATTTGCGGTACGCTTCATGTAACACATCGAAATTATCCAGACGCTTCAGGTTACGGGTTTTGCGAGTCCGGATTAAAATCGCCCGAGAAGCAGGTTTCGAATATTTTCGAGGTCAAAACAGATTTGCTCGTAATTATAATTCTGTCGAGTGTCGACCTAGTTCGTGCATGTATACAAATCCCACCGAGCGGTCCTGTGCCGTTGCAAAACGCTCTATTCGTGTATCCCTCGGGAGCTGTCGGTGCGGGTGAAGGTCTCCCAGATATAGAGGCGTCCCGGTTGTCGGTTGTGCAACGCGAGCTAGCACTCCGGTCTGAAGCACGCGTTATTTCGTCACGTCCTCGCAGTCTCGCGCCGCGGACTCTTTATAGGCACTTTGGCCTTGATACGATTTGCGTTACGATACATCTAACTAGTGTTTGATGTTCACTAATCAGGGACGAGAATACACGCTTTAGGACATCATAGTGTTAATGATGAGTTCTTTTTAAATTGCATAAGTTGACCGGGCTAAATGCCCACACATTAAAAAAAAAACATTTTTTTTATTACTTAGATTGGTGGACGAGTTCACAGCCCACCTGGTGTTAAGTGGTTACTGGGGCCCATAGATATCTACAACGTAAATGCTGCCACCCACCTTGAGATATGAGTTCTAAGGTCTCAGTATAGTTACAACGGCTGCCCCACCCTTCAAACCGAAAAGCATTACTCCTTCACGGCAGAAATGGGCGGGGTGGTGGTAGCCATGCGGACTCACAAGAGGTCCTACCACCAGTAGACACATACCTTGGGACAGGTCTAAGTCTCAGTTGTATAGTATAACCTCTATCTCACCCTTAAAACCGCAACGCAATGGAGTTTTACAGCAGAAATAGGCTTATAAGACGCCCTACCACCAGTGGTTTTCAGGTCATTGTTAAACTTGACCTGTATACTGAATAAAATCTATAATCAACTCAACGATTGTCTACGCCCAGTTTTTGCACTTTATTCTTGCTTAAAATGTAACGCAAAATGTTTTTTTAAATCGTAATCAATTTGCACGACAAAGATTACGTAACTGTTCTCCGATAACAATAGCAGGAAGAAGACGAGTGTATTATTTTTTGTGTGGTCACAATCAAGTCAGGTTCAAGGTCGATTTAGCAACAAATACGCCTAAACGTTACAAGTAAATAAACTAATCTAAAACGTAATACGTGTTTTGCGGATGTAAAAATACATACGCCCTTTTTAAATAACATTCACGCCATTTTAATTATTAAAACCAAGGGTTTAAGATACAATTTACCGTGATCTACAATTGTGTGACCGTCACGCAAGGCGCAATGTGAAAGTTACGTTAAACAAAAGCAGTTTGTATTAATGTATAGTATAAATATACGTAATGCCGTATCCTAGATGATTCAGTTCATAACTTATATAACTCCTTAAATTCATACTACAAAAGTTTGCATTTTTTTTTCCTACCTATGCTGATAGCCTTAAGAGGCTATTTCAGCTTCACCTCAACGTGTAGGTGAGCTCACGGTGCTCAAACCGTAGTGGTGCTAACACTGGCCCTAGCAAGAGCAGTGCTTCGCAGAAACTAGCACCGAATTGGAAACGCGACCCACTGAGAAGATCCGGCGAGAAACTCAGTGGGCTAAGGTTTGCATTATGGTCTCCACTTTTATGCAAGAATAACAATTTACAATAAAAATAAAACGTAAATAAAGGTATATGCTACTGAAAATATTATTTTATAACAAGACTTTAGTTTATTAGGAAACTGCTTGCTTTGATGTTCTTTGTTTGGTCCAAGCAAATTGATACATAAATAACAACGAATCAAAAAATTAATCACGAAAAAAAAGAACTTAAAATATAAAAATGTCGTTGATAGGTCATTCACTTAAGAGGCTGTGCCGAGCGCTGACCTTGTCCGTGTCACCGTTCAGATGTTAATACGATGTCAATAAATCGAACGATACTGAAGAGCATTTCGAAGTCAATGATCCGATCAGTAAAGAATTTAAGTCGTTTCAAACAGTTTATCAGTACAATAGAGACATTTTTTTAGAATGCATCTACTAATGGTAATAGGTCTTTCTGCCGTGAAAACGTCAGGTTTTGGACTTTGATCCACGCAGAATCTGTTACATAGAACTCATCACATTTGGAACTGATATACCCCACATATCTACCGTAAATACCCCACATAGGCCATCCATTAGATTACTGTATGCTTTTCGATTACGTCTAAAATTTACGAAAATCCTGGCAAATAGCACCGATGAAGGAGGTCTAAGCAGTGTACATCTTGCCGCTGGTGTGACTGTGATTATTAAAACGTTATTTTATAAATACAATTTTCCCGTTTTGAAGGGTCGTGAATAACTTTCTGAATACACACAAATACACACACTTTTGTCCTTATGTAATTAAGCATGAGCGGCAACATTTTACATTCAAAACTGTAGTCTACTATTACTGGGTATGTTCCTAACCTTGGAATTTGGCAATGCTCCATTCTCAGCTCGAAGTTCAGGCAACAAACGCCGAATGCAACTTATAGAAAACGGCAATGAAATCTTGCAAACTGTTGCGATTTTCGAATGAGGAACGACCTTCTCCACAAACGTACTTAATTAACATCGCGGTAGGGAATCTGGTTTATTAAGCTGCAAAGGAATATCTGAGATCTGAATACTGTATATGAGTCGTCTATTATCAAAGGTGGCAATCTGTGCATTTGGACAAAAAATTTTTTATTGATATGTCAATACAGATTGATTTGAATGTAATCGTCTCCTTCGAAGAATACGGTTCAAAACCTGCATTAAATAAAGGTTAATAGTTAACCTGTTATTTATCTAAGATGTCGTTCCGAAGAGTTTTGTGACTGCCAATGGAATACAAAGTCAATAATTCGTTTTTCTGATTTACCAATCATTGTCCAAAAGTCAGATTGCCGGCTTTGATAATAGTCGACTTATATATAATACAGTATACAAGCAATGCATACAGTATACATTGCATCTTAGCATTAATGTAACATCTAAACATTGGTCAAGATGGGCAGGCAGCTCACAGCTCACTTGACCGCGTCCGACACCAAATTGATATGGCGCCCTATGTGTCTATACCGAGTGATGCGGATGGCGCCATTAAATTGCGCCAGTGGTTAAAAAAATCTATGGAGATACGGACCTAACGCATGTATCATTTTTCTATCGCCTGGCGGTGACGCGTTTTGGCCTGTAAACAGTTGTCAAATAATTCAGACTACGATCTCAAGGTGGGCATATTGGCATTCACGCTGTAATTAGCGTGTAAGGTATTCTCTCTGCCTATTTATATTTAAATTGCAACGTGCACCACCAAAACACTAGAACGCTACTGCTGGTCTCATCGAGATATAATATTGTATTGTTGTAAATCTCAACTGGATTGTAAGGACGGATTGAGTACATTTCGAACGAGAATCCTATTGCTTCGTAGTAGAGGAAAAATGGTAAATAGCAAATTCGCAGCATCTCGAGAGCAAACAGTAATCTAAATAAATATAGAATATAATACATATATCTCAACATATTTATTGTCATTATCGTGTCATTATATTATTTCCAACGTTAGGAAAAGTTTACAGTTTTCTTAACAAATAAATAAAGGCGAAATTAAATCATGAAAATAGTTTAAACTATACGACTGGCGTATACCAAAGAAAATGCCATAATATAGTACGGTATGTGTAAACGATGTGGCAGTATTGTATTATTATAAATGTAGGTAATAATGATGACCCCTTTTCTCTGAAACACATATCAACCTGTTTTGTTTGTAATGAATGCTAAGTTAGAAAATGAAAAAAAAACAGAGCATCACTCAACTTGATAACTATTTAACTTCAACATTAACGATAAGGCATCTGGTCATTATAGAAATTTTCTTTTAAATCAAATTTTTAGACGAAATTACACAGTGCGATTGTATCTTCTTTATCTTTAATAAAACTAATTTATTAATACCAACTGAATCTTTATTGGGACGTGAACCTTTTAAGCTTTGAAAGGTTCGTTAAATTACAAGTTTGTTCCGGGTCTTGGACCTACGGGCCAGTTCACATGTGAGTCATTATTTATCGGTTGAACGTTCGCGCGGTGCATTCGATTCAAACCCACGCCGCCAGTTCTTTGAATTATTTTTGCATCGTGCGACGTGATTTATCAGTATTGACTTGTTTCGTTTGAATCTACAACTTGTGTTATTTTAGTAATTAGTCGTTGTAGTGGTGACGTATTGTAATTAAAAACCTAGTCCATTCGCTTATCATTAATCACGGACATACCTTTTTTTATTACTTAGATTTATGGACGAGCTCACAGGCCACCTGGTGTTAAGTGGTTACTGGAGCCCATGGACATCTACGACGTAAATGCGCCACCCACCTTGAGATATAAGTTCTAAGGTCTCATTATAGTTACAATGGCTGCTCCATCCTTCAAACCGAAATTCATTACTGCTTCACGGCAGAAATAGCCAGGGTGGTGGTACCTACCCGTGTGGACTCACAAGAAGTCCTACCACCAGTAATTACGCAAACTATAATTGGTTTGATTTTTTTTAACACGATGTTATTCCTTCACTGTGGAAGTCAATCGTGAACATTTGTTGAGTACGTATTTCAACTTATTATACTTAGTATTATATATATTATTATACTTAGTATTTGAAGTTCGCCTAACTGGCTATATACAGCCATATGTTCTTCTTACCCTTATCCTATATGTGGGGTCAGCGCAGCATGCCCTTTTATCCATTCAGGCCTAGCTTACATCATCACTGCACTGACACCATTCTTTCGCATATTATCTTTATCACTACATAGTATAAAA